ATTGGCGACACTGCGGTTCGAGGTAGACGCACTTTTTGACGCATGGGACAAGCGGTTGTTTGGATGCAGATGAGAAAAAATTCTGCGCAGATTTCAAATCCATACGATAACGTATTGAAGGCAGCGATTACGATAGGTTCAAGAAGGGTTTAGGAGACGTGGTGGTGCTCAGTGGTACGTCGGTGGCGAAAAAAGCGGAGAAATCCGTCAAAAAATGAAAACCCCCTTTTTTGGCCGTTGGTTTTCACTCATGAACAGGTAACAGCTCAGAAAGCGGACGTATGAACGAGTTCACGCAACGCACCATGCCAAACCACACTCCAATCGAGTTGCTCCAGTTGTGCCGCTGCTGGCAACGCAGCTCGTCCAAATCACCAACTAAACTAGTGGGCGGATCGCTTTTGGGGGAGTGCTTTCGAAGTCCTGCTCAGCAACCAGCGCACCTTCCGTCGAAAGCGCTACACCTCGCTTCCCTGGCAGCCAAGTAACTAATTCGCGTGGTACATATGCTTCCCCGACACCGTCTCACTTTATCGTCCTTTGATCGGGAAAGAGAAAGCATTGTAGCACTCATGGTACATGGTCCCTGCGTATCTTTCTCAGTGGGTATTTCGCTCGAGGGGTATGCGAAAGTGATTATCCAAAATGATGCTTGTTATTTTTGGAAGTATATGGATGGTTTTGCTTGCAGATAGCTAGTGTACTGATGGATCTTTTCACAAAAAGAGGTCTGGATTCAAGCCCATTTGCGGATTTTGGAGTGGTATATTCATGTTTATTTCAGCTTGCTCTGAAGCCCTCTCCGGTCCATAATAAAGAATGCACGTTCGTCTTGGAAGCGATCGCCATAGATTTGAGACGTGCCAGTCTCAACCATTCTACATTAAAACCGACCACTTTTTAGTGGTTATCTCCAGCATTATGACACATCTTTCAAAAACATTAAGAGGAGCGGTTTCACAAGCAAGCACTCGAAAAAGCGCCTTGTCGTCAAAATGTTAAGGCACCAGTATGGCCTTATGAATGTGAACAATACAACAGACGAGTGTTTTGAAAATTGAGCGTACCACCCGCCAAGGTTGATACGGGAGCTTGGTCTCAGTGGTGACTTGCAACTGTGCAAAGGAAAGAGTGTGTTAGTGTATCTTGCCCCAAAAATCAAGCAAATTTCCAGCCTGAGTGAGATCATAACGACTTTCAGAAGAAGGTTAGTAGTGCGTATTTGCGGTTTTTGATGAATTAATGAGCTATTACACAGAAAAACCGTCCGAAACTACAGCGAAGTGAGAAATTTGCTTCAAAAATGGCTGCATTTAATCAATGATTCTTGCTGTACACGAGCGAGGTAGAAAGGTATGTTTGCACTACATTTGCAAACAAAACACAGGTGTGAAGTTCATGATTACCGTATTAAGTAGGCAGAAAAGTATGTACAAAATAGGAGAAATGGGACGGATGGAAAAGTAATCATACGACGTTAATACACCGGAGATTGGCGAAAAATCAGGGTATAAGCGAGGCAGGAAAGAGGAGAGAATAGTGACAAGAAGAAAATACGAACGATAGCGAAAAGCCCCTGGACAGAGAGGTTTGCGCTGTGTGGACTGGGAAATTTATGCTGATTTGCTCCGGATGGTTATGAAAAATCGTGCTAGAGACATAGTGCAACACACCTGAGCAATCAATGTCAGGAACGCTCGATACATAATACGCATCACTTTCAGCAGACATTGGAATAATGTGGACGGGACAATCTTAGGCGCAATTCGGGCACAGTGTCTGACATACTATTGGGAATTTGATGCAGAGACATAGCCCGGTGGTTCGAATCAAGACTTGTTATTAGTGTAAACGATACAGGCGCCGCATTTTCGACCGTACATTTCAGCGTAACAGCAGTTCCAGTATGCTAAAGCAGAGAGGACGTGAATCCTGGAAAAGAATAAATAAACAAGCGATGACTATCACTAAGTTTACGAATTCAAGGTGAAGGTAATATTAAACACATTGCGGACCTTATATACGAGGACCTCCATACCTTTTTATGTTTTTAGAAAATGAATCATCATTAATCTATCAACAATTTTATCAGTGATGATACTTATGGTTTCCTGGCTCTGAAAATGAGTGCAAACACTTCAGGAGCATTGAAAAATGCCAAATAAATCAGATAAAACTATGATCTTTCGGAAATCGTGCGCCACATGGTGGCGCACGCGGTACGCAATGTGTTAATGCGTTAGAAGAAGTGTACAGAACAACAGCTTGAATCCCACCCCCAGATGAGACATTGGCCGTCAGGTTGACAAATTCATTTCTTTTCATTACGCACTACCCAACGCTTACAACATTGCTGAAGGGCACAACACCAGCCCAACAGGTATATCCAGTAATATCCAGTAGCAAAAATTTACAATGTGCTTACCGAAGAAAGAGGAACACTACTGCAAAATTGATTCCGGTGGTGATGTACGGAAGCAACACAACAATGAGGACAGAAACCTCATCGTACTGGAAGTGACTCACTTACAGTCAGGTATTGTCAACTAGATAACGCGCGAGTACACAAAAATGAGATGACTAAGTGAATGTTCACTGAGAAAAAAGATGAATTTCGTAATCGTAAAGATGGAGTCACCACTCGCTGGACGAACCGATGTTCATTTGTCGTTTCCAATTTAAAGTTGCAATAAAACCAGACGTTCAAAATAGACATCCTAAGCGTGCACCGCAAAATCGGAACTTGTTTCCACATCGTTTACACCCCCAAATGATTCTCAATGGATTTCTATCATGAGAGGCATGCCTCAGAATTTAATTAGCGTTGTCCTTGTACGCGAATATGAGTATTGGTGCCAAATGGGACGGCAGTAAAGAAAAAAGGAAAAGAATAAGTCGAAAACGCTTAGGTTAAGGCTTGATTAGAGCGGCTATGCTAAGGCAATGAGAGACTATGCGCGGAGAGGAGAGTAAGAAGCGAGAGGACACTGAAGATAAGAGGGCGAGAGACGGGCAACAGCCTGCTGCGAATGTGAAACATTGCAGCTGCTGCAGCTAATTTTGGGAGCCTTAACACCCTCGTCAAGCGAGTTTCATGCACGGGAGCGCCACATCTAGGCTCTGGGGGCTCTCCTACAGACCGAAGGAAATCGTTCACATGAATTCTGCCTGAGTTTGCCTTTAACATCCTGGAGCCCATGCAGCCCATATGTGCGCTGCAGCTCGTCGACCGCGTAAGGGCTTTAGCACTTCCGCAACAAATATTAAGCTTTCCATTTGTTTTCTTTTCTATTTCATTCAGTAAAGATTACTCTCCACGATACGGTATGTTTTTTCTTTCAATTTGCTTGATAATATTTCTGAGAATTTCACTGAAGTCCTACGCGGCCGGAAAACGTAGAACAAACATGCACGTTCTTCGATTTTCTTTTGCCAATATGGGAACGGACGAGTTACTTTTTACAATAAAAAGGGTATGCGGAATTTGTCTTCAACAAATGCAATGCAATCAAAGCGAATTATTTCAAGACAGATAACAAATGATGAAATGTGAGAGGTACGCTTTTTTAATTACTGTTCGAATGGATTAAAAAAACGAACTGCTTCCAACGATGGAGGTACCAAATGAATATTACACACCAGTACGAACGACAACAGCCTTAAATCGCTGAAGGGTGGTTTTTCTCCACGAATTTGTTGCCCTCCCTCCCTCATCCCGAAATCGTA